AACTCGATCAAGTATTTCTTGAACATAGGGTATCTGTTCTTGCTGATTGTTTGTCTCCTAGTTGTGGTTGGAGAAGTAAAGCAGAATCAATGATACACATACTGAAAAACCCCAAAGATGAATACAATTCATACTTGCACTCTGGAAGAACGGAGGATGATGAGTCTGAAATCAAGGGCATTACTTTTAATGTCGGAAACATTCATGGGAAGAAGATGGTTTGGAAGGAAAAGGTGCCCAAAAACACCAAGTTATCTTTCAGTGAGTTTGTCACGAAAAGAGTTAATGTTATTGAAGAAAATCTGACAACTATGGTTAGAAACTTGTACACACATATGCCAACTTCTTCTGTTCCATTACGACTAGCAAAGAAAATGATGAAAGTTATCAGTTTGATTCGGTCCGTTGGAACTACGATTCCAGGAAATGATGGGATAAGGAAGGAGTTCCTTCAAGTACTTAATGAAGTCCTTTGTCAAACAGTTTCTTTCCCTAAATCCACAGATTATTGGGAAATTGGGAACTTTTGTTTAAAAAATGCATCTATGATCTTCTGCACCGCCTCGAGCTCAGTTAGATTGCACACCCTGGAGAAGAATGTGGAATTATTGGTAGTCGATGAAGCTGCTCAACTTAGAGAATGTGAATCTGTTATCCCTTTGCAACTCCCTGGTCTTCGCGGAGTTATACTCATTGGGGATGAAAAGCAACTCCCTGCCACAGTTAAAAGCAAGGTACACGTTCTTTCCATTAGAAACCAATTAGAACTGTCCACATAGAAACCAAAAGTCTGATGATGAGAATTGTTGTAGATATGTAACAAGGTGGAGTTTGGAAGGAGCTTATTTAAAAGATTGGTGTCACTAAAACACACAACACACCTACTGAATATCCAGTACAGAATGCATCCRAWGATAAGCTYGTTTCCAAACAAAGAATTCTATTGCAACAAGATTGTYGATGGTCCAAATGTAAAACAAACAAGCTACAAGAAGCAGTTTCTTGAAGGAGACATGTTTGGATCATACTCCTTCATTCATTTAACGCGAGGGAAAGTTGAATTTAATG